TGAAGTCGTTCATGGTTGGTTTCTGTCGTCTTGTTCTTTTTACAGACGGCGGTATCTGCACCCCTTCCGTCAAACGCTCCTCCTTTATCCGGACTTGCGACCGGCACAGAAGCCGCTGGATCGCGGTCTCTATGGTGGAGTTATTTACTCGATTAGATTAGAAATATAATAAAATGAATTCTATTGAATTTTTATCTACTTCTCATTAATTCACAATTAAAATAACTTACTATTAAAAAGAGATAGAGCTTTTTCTACATCAATATCAATATAAACCAAGTCCATTTAGATTAGGATAATTTGTAGCAAGAAGAATACGTTCCATAGATGTTGATTCAACATTAAGCCACTTGACTCTATGGTGAATTTTAGGTAAAATTTGTAAACAAAATCGATTAAGCATTGAAGCAGGTAATGGATAGATAAATTTATCCAAGAAATATAATGTTAAATGAGTTGTAAAAATTGAGTCATATGCAATTGTATTGAGTCGTTTATTAACCCCTATTAAAGAATAGAGTACTTCGACATCATACAATTTTCTTAGAATAAATATAAGAATCTCATTTGGTAAATCACTTAATTTAATCGATAAATCTTCCATGTTTATCTATGCCTGTATTTCTTTTTGACTTACAGATGTGAATATTTACATATGGTCATGTCATTTTTTTTTGACCGATGTCGTCAATGATCACCAATGAGAATAATGATATTTTTTTTTTTAGTTGAAATAAACAATGACTGAATAATTGAATGAACGAAAGAAAAAAGGAGATTATTTCTCTCTCCGTCATTGTCGTTAAAAATATCTGATATCATGAACATTTATAACGATTAATTGCTATTTTTATCCTAGGTACTTGTTCACTTTCGACGCATCCCCTCACCCACACTCTTTGATGTGCGTGTGTTAAACACGCCAATTAGTGTACAGAGTAGAGAGCTGCGGGTCCATGTTTTTTTAGACCCGGACCCGGGAAAAGCTAAATTTTCAGACCCGGACCCGGCCGGGTCCAGACCCAATCCTTTTTTCACCAATATTTGGCACCCTCTGTGTACATGAACAGAAAAGGGAACACAATTTTAGCTCTTCATTGGCCATTTTAAAGATAAAA